TGACTAAAATGTTCTGATAATGCATTCATGCATGCAAGAAAATATTTTTGGTCTTTTGGATTTTTATTATAAGAAATCCATAAATTGTCTAAAATACATTTCTCTTCTTTAGATAAAGAACTGTGCGGTAATGTTTTAAAAGAAATATTACTATTAGGAAATACTATGATTTCTTGGTTTCCAAACCTTAGTCTGTCTTGTAACACTGGTCTGTTCTGATTAAATAGAGTCTGTGGTAATAGTCTTGATGCAAATAAATTCCCAGGTGGAATTCCTGGTCTTATAGGCCTTGGCCTTGTCATCTGTATAGAGAAATTATGTTAAACAAATTTAATAATTTCTATCTATTATTATTCTACTTAGTATATCTGCTGCCTTATTATCACTACCTTTAATATGTTCAAATTCTATATTAATTCCTGTATTAGTAATTATATCAATAAAATTTAACCATATTCTTCTACTGCTTCTTTTTGAATCTATTTTCATTTTATTAACAAAAGAAACTATAGCTACACAATCTGTTCTTATAGTTATTTCTTTCTTAGATATAATAAATAATTCAAAACTATCTAATGCATAATTTATAGCTAATAATTCTACATCTATGCTACTTAAATTTCCTTTTTCTTTATAATTTCCACTATTATATCTACAAATTCTTTCTGTACTTTTATCAGTATATTTATTGGGTTTGCATATTAATATGGCTCCCCATCCTATCATACTTCCATCTGTTTCTATTATTAAGTATTCTGAGTCTAAAGGCATAGCTAATTCTGGTAAGGTTTTTATTTTTTCTTTTATTTGTTGTACTAATTTTATATCTTCTTGATTGAAGAATCTTTGTCCTGTAGGAGATGTCTTTGCATATAAGGGTCCTGCAATTTTTCCTAAATCTTTTATAAATGGTCTGGCATAATTTACTAATCCTAAAAATTTTTGTATTTGTTTTAAATCTTCTAATTTATCTGGAAATTCTAAAGCTTTCTTAGCAATATGAGGTTGCAACTTTATTTTACCTTCTCCTATGTTAACTCCTAAGAAATCTATAAATTCTTTAAATAAAATTATTTTCTTCTTACTGATTATTAAACCATGTTTAATAAATTCTGAAAATACTATTTGTAAATGTCCCCTATGTTCTTGTTTATTTTTGCTAAATACTAAAATATCATCTATGTATACTATAACAAATTTACTATGTCTATTAAAAATACTTTCCATCTTTCTTTGGAAAATACTAGGTGCATTTTTAATTCTAAATGGCATTACAAGCCATTCAAAATGTCCTTCTGGGCATGTAAAAGCTGTCCACTTAATGCTTTCTGGATGCATTTTTACTTGCCAAAATCATGACTTTAAATCAAACTTACTAAAAATTTTATAGTCTTGTATTTTATTTATTAACACTGTCTTATCTGGTATATTATAGGCATCATCTATGGTATTATCATTTAGTCTTTTATAATTTATTACCATTCTACTTTTTCCTCTAACAATTTCTGAATGTTTTCTAACTATAAAAGCTGCTGATCTGTGAGGACTATCTGATTTTCTAATAACTCCTAATTCTAAAAGTTCTTTTATATGTGTTTTAAAGTCCTCTAAGTCTATATTAGTAGCTTCAATGTTTTTAGTTTTAATTATGTATTCTGGGTTTTTAATTTTTAATTCACACAATATTTTATCTTTTTCCCAATATTTTAAAACATTTTCTCCTATTATTTCCATCTTTTCTAATCTAGAGATTAAATTTTCTATTTCTTGTTCTGTTATTAATATATCATAAATCTTTTCATTATCTATTAATTCTATAGTTCCAAAATTTGTTTTTAGGTTAATCCTGAGTGACCCAGATGAATGAAAACTTTTAGCCGGAGTGAGCCTTTTGATGTTTTCTAGAGATGCTGGGGAAAGGGAAAAAATTAATCTAAGAATTTTATAAGGGAGTGCCACGGGTAACCTTATAGAAAGAAATCAGGTTCAAGTTTATATGTCATAGGTGGTGAAAAAAAAAGAAGAGGGATTTATACATGATTCTTAAAAAAGATTTATAGAAAACTAAGGAGAGTACTGAGTAGGATTAAAGTTATTACAAGTTAAACAACCATCTAAAACAGCCATTTTAAAACAGCATACCCCCCCATTTGGTATCAGAGCAAAAAGGAAGTAGTTACTGGGATCAGAAAAAGCAAAATAGTTATTTAGAAACTATAAAAGAAAGTATTATAATTAAAGATCAAGAAATTAGAAATATAAAAGAGTCTTTAGATTATATTAAAAATCAAAATTCAAGTATTTTAGAAAAACTTGTTAAATTAGAAAAAATACCATCTAAGATAGACTTAACAGAAATAAAAAGAATTTTAGATTCTAATAAATCTAAAGAAATAGAAATAGGAACTACATCAAGTGTAGAAAAAGACTGAAAATCTTTAACAAATACTTTCGAGAAATTAAGTTTCAGAGACACAGGAAAAGAAAAGGTAACTAGATTGCATTAAAAATTTTCCAGATCTTCTTTACAAAGGTTTTACAAATTTTCGAGAAGCATTAGATGTTGCAAGACAACAGATAGGAATAAATTTTTATCTATCCCTTCTTTGAAAAATTACTCAGACCCTCCGTTAGATTTTTCTCCAAGCAAAGACTAGAATATTTTCTGCCAACATTGTGAATGTATGCAGAGAAATTACAAAGTTATCAATGAAGCCAACCAGAACCTTTCTCTAGAAAGAACCCAACTCCAAAAGAAAGTAGCCCAATTAGAAAAAGAGATTTTGGATTTAAAAGTCCATTATCCAACGGAAGATGTTCAAATAACTCCCAGACAAAATATAAAATATACATAGATAAAGTAGTAAATTTAATGAGTAGTAAAGTAATTAACATGGTTAAACCAAGAGAATATTCATCAGAACAATTAGCAGGATTAAAATGGGATATGGATAAATTTTTAGAAAATCAAGAAACAATTATAGCACCACAGGAAGCATTAACTTATAAAGATATACATGGAATAACTAGATAATAAAGAACTATTAGAATTAGAAGATCAAATGTATATTAATAAGACAATTAAAGAATCTGAATACTTATATTATGATCAAGAACAAAACATAAGAATAGGAATTATTAAAGAAAATAATGATTCAGAAAATTCAGATTTTAGTTATATTAAAGAACTTATGGAAGACTCAAATACATATAGAACCTTTAGTGATACTCCTTTTGATAGAACAGTTAAACATGAAGCAATGATTTATAGTGGAGGATTCCCTCCAAGAGGAGCTTATCCTTTATATAATAATACAGAAGGAAAATATATAGCAAGAGGAAGTGAAAGACCCTTAGAAAAGAAAATAGAGTTTCAATCATATCATAAAGCACAAATTCTAAATATTACAGCACATGATCCACGTAGTTACTGGGATCAGAAAAAGCATATGATATTAGAACTTATAGGTATAAGAGACAATAGATTGACCTACCAAGTAAAATATAGTATAGATATTTGTGGTTATTTTGAGGAAGATAATATAGTTGGAACTTGGAGTAAAGATTTAATTGAAATCTTAGAAATATTTAGAGTTCTAATCCTGCTAATTGTTCTGATGAATATTCTCTTGGTTTAACCATGTTAATTCCTTTACTACTCATTAAATTTACTACTTTATCTATGTATATTTTATATTTTGTCTGGGAGTTATTTGAACATCTTCCTAAAAATCCTATGCTAATTAATAAATTATCTCCACTTTCTACCTCTTCATATCCTTTTGTTTGAATTCCTATTTTAATTTTATCTGAAAAGTCTTTAATAGTTAATAAAAAATCTGGATTACAATAAATTATACCATTATTATTGTTCATATCTACTTCTGTAGTAGCAATCATACTTTTATCTATATTATTTATTCTCTCATCATATATAGTAACTAATACTTTACATCCTAGATTTTTTCTCATTAATCCGTTTATTCCTATAACTATTAATCCTAGATGCTCTATCATTATCCATATGAAAGTGGGTCCGCATCAACGGTTGTTGGGAAATAAAAATGGTTAGTGGGGAGTTAAAATGCTAATTGTTGGCAGTTAACAAAATGGATTCAAAATAACTCGTTTTATAAGAATGTTATTTGTATATAATTTATATAATGATTTACATATAGATGATATGTCAAAAAGAGAATGGTGATTATTTTTTCCAATTTAGTTGAAAAAATTCTAATCCAATTATATCTCATTACCTCACACACATATAAATTATTATGTAAATCATTATGTATGCGTAGCATAATCGAATTTATAATTACTTATAAGTTAATTAACTTTTATTTTATTTACAAATTTCATATGTACTAATATATTTTGATAGATTTTGGACTTAAACCTAGTGTGACTGCTTATAAGTACTTTCAAGTTGAGAATCAACAATGCAATTGTCCCTTAGACAGCCTTTAATTAAGCTTTAAAAAATCTGTTCCTCGAATAGCCAACCAATGCAAGCCACGTTATGAGCTCTATTTCCTTTGGTCTAGGTGACTAACTTTCGAAAACAATCAACTGTATGCTGTCAGAATATTAGTGGTCGACACGTCATGTCATTTGTACGATGATGTTGACATAAGATATTAGACCCCATAATTTTTCTACCTAAAATATTATTAAAATTACCCTTTCGCGAAAAACTGTTATTTTCAAAGTGTCTTAATGGACTTAAAAGTATTTCCATAACAGAAATAATCCCCAGTTTTACTTTTTCTTACTAAAAAGACAATAAAAATTATAGAGCTTGTTTGGGAGTGAGAAAAGTGGGGTTCATCAGTGAGAGAAAAAGTAAAATATAACGATTGAAATGGTGAAATAACGATCAAAAAATTAATTTTTTGGAGGAAAAAATCAGTATCAAACATATAGAAAATTTGCTGTTTTCTTGGGGTCTTTTTATTTTTTGAGTTAACCATTTTTGTGCCTTGCCTTTTTTGTGGTTAAGACTTAAGAGTTGACCAAAAAAGGCAGAGAGAATAACAGATATTATGATGAATAAGGAAACGTTAGGTTCTGTGGTCTCAAAGTAAAGAAATAGTTGCATCGAAGAAGAGAGATCCTTCATGTCTAATACATTTCTGGGCTTTTTACTTTTTGGGAATTATTGAAAACACTTAAAGAATTTTATTTAGGTTCTTATTCCTCAGACTGTACTATCTTTGCCTTTTATCGTAGGTGCAGATGTTTCTGGGGTTGTTTTAGAGTGCACAATCTTTGCATTTTTGTTTCATTAAATTCTCCGAACTGGGGTAAATTTACTGGGATTTTTAGATTTTCTTGTTCAAATTGTGCAGTAGTCTGATTTTCATTTTATATTTTTTGCTACGAAAATTTATTAGGGTTTTGAAGGGTGCTGCCTGTGGCCTGGTTAATATAAATTTCAACTCAAACCCTTTCTTGGTAAGTAAAATTTTCTCTGTCAGATCCTTTTTCGATAATGAATTCGGACAAAAGTTTGATCCTAAATTTGTTTTAAGTTTTAAACTTCCTATTTGGGATTTTAACTAATTTTCTTCTGAGATTTCCACTCTTAATTTATTTAGGGTTTCGTTTGTAATGTAATTAATTAAAAGTTTGGTGATTCTATATGTAGAAAAAATGGTGAGAGGAAAGGTAGAAATGAAGCTTATTGAAAATACAACCAGCAGACAGGTAACATTTTCAAAGCGCAGAAATGGGCTATTGAAGAAGGCTTATGAGCTATCAGTACTTTGTGATGCTGAAGTGGCTTTGATCATTTTCTCCCAGAAAGGAAAACTTTATGAATTTTCAAGCTCCAAGTAAGTTTTTATTATGAAATTTGCGAGTAATTTTTTCTTATTTATTTTGATTTTCACTTTGTTCTTTAATTTCTATATTTTATATTGTCCTTTGTGTACTTTCAGAGATTTCTAGTACTATTTTATTAATTTAAGAGTACTTCCACAATGGGTAGAGAATTATGTAAGATTATTGATGGATTTTGTAGCTCATATTTTGCATCTCCATTTGTACTTAATTTGCAGTTAGATTTTTATGAAATACCCTACAATAGAAAGCGACACAATTGCAAGAAGCAACTGTAAGTGTCAAGCAAATTGTAAGAGAAACAATTTTATTAACAATAGAGAAAGAACACATCTTTTCCAAAGAGTAAACATTTTTGTCTTTTAGTGTTCTTTTGAGTGTGAGGGGTTGATTTGTTTGTATGCCCACCATCACTTCAAACACAATCGACCACTAATAAAAGCGAGACGAAATCATATCTAGGATATTTGTAAATGTAGCGTAGCATACTCCTTATCAACATTTCTATGTTGTGTTGAGTATTTCTTAAATTGTGTTAAGTATTTCTATAGGCAAACACTGAAATTCTCATGAAGTGGATCTTAATAACTATCAAAATCATAGTCAGTGTACTTATTCTGTGGACAACAATACATAAACACACATTAATGTATTCTACCTACTTAAATTAAGCCGATGTTTGATTTTTCTGTAAATTTATATAGAAGTTGATGAATTGTGTAAATGTCACGTCTCACTTTGTTCTACCATATAATTTGATTTTGTGGGTAGAAATTAGTTTTTTTTCTTTCATGTCACCTCACTATGAAGCTAGCTATGATATTTTTAATTTGAAGGAGGGTATGATGCAAAGGTATATAGAGAATATATTATATGAATTGAGAAGATTTTTAAATGTATTACAAGATAATAGCTTTTGTTTGATTTTGTTAAAATTAGATTTTTATAGATTTTGACAAAACTTGTTGAAATGTATGGCTAAAAAGTTGTAAATCCGTTAAATGTGTGGTTAAAATGAAATTTTTTACTTGGACTTAAATTTCTATCAATTTTTTAGCTAAACCAAGTAGAGGGATATTGTGTAAGAAACCAAAAGTTCTCTCTCTTTATCTTTCACTGATGTCTCCTTTGCTTGTTGGTTTATTTCTAATTGGATCCATTTAGTGTGACCATCAAATTCATACAAGCATCTATGTAAGGTATCTTCTGATAACATAGAATCGATGTAGAGACTTTGAGTTGTTCAACATGATGTTTGTTACTTGTATAAGATCCTAACTATCTAAATATTTACTTTTGGCACAACTTGATATGTGATAAGTCTTGCTTTTTTTTCTATACGCTTTTTTATCGATTTTCATTTAATACTTAATTGATTATCGAGACTCACAGTAAGCCTTATTTTGCTAGTGAGACTTTCTAATACTACTTTATTTTATGCTCAATATCAATCGTTCATCGATTCATAATATGATTAATGAGCTTAATGCTTTTATAGTTTATATAATCTTGAATCTCTCTTTTATTCTTATTCGTAGCTACTCAATTTCTCATTTGTCCAAGCATCTTTATCGTGCCTTGAGATTGTGTTAAATAATATCGTCAAGCACAAATCACCTACTTTGATTCCTTGACAACACTTTCATCATTTAATAGAGACTTGTGAATTCAATCTCATAGAAGACAAATCAGTTTCATGTAGACGAAGTCTCTCTATCCCTAAGTTCATGGATTTTCAAGAAAAAACCTTCTCTTCTTCATCCTCCATTAATGCTTTTGGAGGTTGAGTATTAATGAAATTCGTGCCCTTAAAGGCTGTTTCCTAAGAGAAAAATTCCCAAAATATCTAATGTGTCTATGTTAAATAACTTTTCAAATAAATACTGTATCTTTTTGCTGTATCTGTTGCTATGTTAAAAAAACAAAAGGAGAGAATAATTAGCATCTTTCCTGTACTGATTAAAATGTAACATATGTAATTCAGAACGTTAAGGTTGTGTATAATCCTATTTATGTAAAACATAATTATTACTTGTTGTGTAATGGATATTCAGCATGCAAAAGACTATAAAGAGATACCTGGAACATGCAAGAAGAAAGCAGAACATTAGTACTGAAGTTGAAGGACAAATGCAGGTGAGATTCCATCCATTTTCTTGAATTAATTCCATCTTTATTGCTTCCTAATGGCCATTTTCATGATTTTCACTGATTTTCTAAGCAGCATTGTGAGGAGGATACAGCAACCTTGGCACAGAAGATAGAGCTCCTTGAAAATTCCAAACAGTTTCGTCTCAGTTTTCCTGCTTTTCTTTCCCAACTTTGAGCTAGTATGGCCAAGCCTAAAAAAAATTATAAATACATAAAATCAACTTTTAAGCTCAGTCAAACATGTTAGTAATTTTCTAATATGCTTGGTTTTTCTGTAAGATTAAAGAATTTTACTTTTAGTACAAAATGGGTTTTTAGGCTTTGCTGAACACTCTCTTTTAGGGATTTTGTGAAATTTCTTGCTCTCACTTACAGATTGAATTTTGGTTGTTATAGGAAGCTTTTAGGACAAAATTTGGAAACATGTTCATTACAGGAACTACATGAGATTGACAGCCAGCTGGAAAAAAGCCTAAAAATCATCAGAGCTAGAAAGGTGTTATACATAAAGAAATCGTCCCTTATATACATATCTTTTCAACTTCAATTTATTTTTATTTTATTATTATTATTAATTTTTTTTGTTGTTTCAAGAAAAATCCATGAGTGACTCCTACCAATTTATTTATACTGAAAGGAAAGTACAAAAGTAGTGCACAGAAAAAGAAGTTTCAAGGGGAACGTGACCACAAATTTTGATTTAAAAAAAGGAATCATTTTCTTAAAATTAAACAAGAAATTAACCTCTGTGCCATTTTGCAGGCTCAATTATTCAAAGAAGAAATAGAAAAATTAAAAGCAAAGGTATTAGCATAAAATTCTGATGCATGAACTGGTCCATCTAATTGTTTTACTCTCTATAATTAATAGTAACTGGACTTTTTCACATATTCAGGAGAAGTTTATGCTAGAAGAAAATGCAAAATTATGTGAAAAGGTGAATTCTCAATTACCACTGTTTTTCTGGATATTTAACATTAAGGAACTTTTACTTATGCATTTCGTACAATAAAAAATTAAATTATTATTCTTAAATTGATTTACTATATATGTCAACTGGAATATCATGATTCTACATCTTTAAAACTTATTCTGCTCTTGGATTTGAATACTGAGTTCAAGGTTTCTTTTGTGTTTGCTCACTTTATTTGTTAGGTATACTGATTTTAAAGTAGCAAGTATTCATATATTATATTCAACTTGAGTTGATATTTAGATTTTCAAGAATTGGGCATTATTATCATTGCATGATAAGTTCGTCCTTTATGTGATGCAATTGTATTGGATACCAAGAGAATGGTATTGCCTGTGATAAGTTGATGCATATTGATTTAAAGGTGACTAGTTTGTGTCAGAATGTAAGGCCTAATCTTATAAGCAAGCTTGTAAATTTATAAAAACTTCATTTTCAATCATACATTTCAATAGACCTACAAGTTGTATCAATTCATTCATAACTCATTTTTATCAGAAGAATGCTTGGTGTATAGGGAGGGTTCTTCAGAATATTCACAATAAGGGGTGGGTGAATTGATTTTATTTTATTTATTTATTTATTTATTTTTTTACTTATGAGTATTCTGGACTTGTTTTGTGAACAATTAGTCTGTACACACAAACTAATTGTTTTTATTTATTTATATCTATAGATTAAACCGTTTATAAATTCTTCCAAAATGGAGGTTAAATAAGTAATGTTTTATATCCAAATATGCTTGGCTATATTGCTCTTTTGTTACTTTTTGAGTAAAAGAAGTTAATTATTTTGAAAGTAATCTCATCTTAGTGTCAAAATAAAGTAACTTGCTTATTTTTAACTTTATTGAATAGATTTTATTTATTTATTTCAAATTAACTTCTTTACTAATTATAAGTAGATTTTTTCCCCTTAAATTAGGTGATTTAACAAGATGTCAAGACGAATTAGTCCTCTAGCCTTGTATTTATAAGCCTAATGGGACGTGTTGAAAATGAATATAAATGAATAAATTTTTCATCTCTCTTTAAGCCCTTGTTTGAGTCCCATTTTTTTGGGAAGAATAAATTTTTGAATAGTGTATTGATGAGAAATGTGTGGTTAAAAAATTAAGAAAAATTTTGGATTTACATGTAATATTATTTTATTGAAAAATGTGTGGTTAAAATGATGTCAAAATACTGTTGAAAAATGTATTTTTTCAAAAGAATGGTGCTCAAACAAGGGCTAAGTTTATGCTTTGAGATGACGTAGTTAAAACAATTTTAAGTATTTATTGTATGGTTATCTCATGATACACTTGGACATACACACACAAATATATATATATATATATAGACACAAACTAATTCTTTTTATTTATTTATATCTATAGATTAAACCGTTTATAAATTCTTCCAAAATGGAGGTTAAATAAGTAATGTTTTATATCCAAATATGCTTGGCTCTGTTGCTCTTTTATTACTTTTTGAGTAAAAGAAGTTAATTATTTTGAAAGTAATCTCATCTTAGTGTCAAAATAAAGTAACTTGCTTATTTTTAACTTTATTGAATAGATTTTATTTATTTATTTCAAATTAACTTCTTTACTAATTATAAGTAGATTTTTCCCCTTAAATTAGGTGATTTAACAAGATGTCAAGACGAATTAGTCCTCTAGCCTTGTATTTATAAGCCTAATGGGACGTGTTGAAAATGAATATAAATGAATAAATTTTTCATCTCTCTTTAAGCCCTTGTTTGAGTCCCATTTTTTTGGGAAGAATGAATTTTTGAATAGTGTATTGATGAGAAATGTGTGGTTAAAAAATTAATAAAAATTTTGGATTTACATGTAATATTATCTTATTGAAAAATGTGTGGTTAAAATGATGTCAAAATACTGTTGAAAAATGTATTTTTTCAAAAGAATGGGGCTCAAACAAGGGCTAAGTTTATGCTTTGAGATGACGTAGTTAAAACAATTTTAAGTATTTATTGTATGGTTATCTCATGATACACTTGGACATACACACACAAATATATATATTATTTATTTATTTTCGGGATGATTATATGTCGTTCAATTTCATGTTTGGCATAGAACCATGCAGACAATTATTTCAAAAAATTCGAATGACTTCAACATTCAAGCTGTGAATTTATGACGAGACTTGTATGTAAATACTATATGTAATTGGCATGCATCTCTTTTTAATAATGTTAATAGCCTCAACTCGGCATTGCAAGTATGTCATATAGATTCATTTATTCTGTTGTCATTCAAATTTTAGCATGACCTTTGTTTTACACATTATCTTTATACAAGTATTCCATTGACTGTCTCTATAAAACTGCTAAAATAATATGATATTTGCAGTGTGGATTGAAGCCAGAAAACGTACCAGAAAAACAGCATGAAAATGGTAGTTGCCACCGAAGCACAAGCCCTGAGGTGGTGACAGAATTGTTCATTGGCCTGCATCCAGTACAGAATGGCTGTTGACAATCTTTGTTAAATTACATACATCTATAGCTCTTCACAATAAGCAAGATATATATAATTTATCCAAAATAATGGTTTGCAGTATATAATATAATAAAGATGTATGTTTGTTGGATTTTGTGAAACTCAATTAGACATTAAGCCTCTGTTTGGTGGAGATGAAATCAGATATTTAGTATATTTTAATATAAGTTAATAAAATGTATGACAGTGAAGTTGTGAATTTTATGAATATGTGGCTAAATTTAATCGTTGACTTTGACTTAGAATCTCTACCAAAAAGGGGCTAAAATTAATCCCTTTTATTTGCATATCAATATTTGTATTTTAGGTTAAGAAAATATTAGGTACCTTTGTAATATTCCGTCCAAATATTTGTGCATATGTGAAGAAATTTTAAGTGGTGCTTGCTTTTCGAGAGAAGAGACTAAGGGATATGAGATTAATCTTGTATTCATATCTTCTTCTTTGTAAGACTGTGCAGTGGTAAGTAAAAAGTAACTTTTTTATTAGCATGAATCACAATAAATCTCCTGCAGGAAGCTTTGCCTTGAGACCAAGACGCGACATCAATTCTGCTAAATTTTGTTCGTGTAGTTGGTTTAAGGGTTTAATCTCTTAGGCAAGTTTGATTGCAACATTTTCCATGGAAAATGTCACATCCAAGGAAAATAATTTTCACTTTGACTTTTTGATTCGCATGTGAAAATGGAATTCGAATTCTTATGTACAACCATTTAAAGCACGTTTTTGGCCAATTTCATGGAAAACGAATTCTTATGAGTATGGTGGTTTTTTATTTTCCAACTTAGGTGGAATTCCTTTACCTTTTCCTCCTTCGAAATCAAACGGGGCCTTATTGTAGTCTTCTGGTTATTGGTTTATTATAATTTTCTTCCTTTAATCGGATTACAGATGGACCATGAAAAATGTATACGAGCTTGTAGTCACAAGAAGTAAGATTTTCCTTATCTATTCCAAGGCAAAATTAAAGGTATATGATATATGAGTTGTAAGATATTTATTCATAAAATTCACATGTAACACAAAATTGAGGTTACAAGTTCAAGAGAATAAAATGCAACACATAAATATTTGAAAATGCTTAAGCACTTTCTTTAAGATATTATGGAATATATACACATTAGATGTTTCAGTCGATTGGTAACAATACTATAATATTTCATTAAAACAACTATACAAGGAATGAAAGGGAACGAGTAAAAGGAAAGAAAATATTAGATTGTGAATCACACTACTAACAGTCAATTATTATGTCCTTGCAAGATGATGGTTCGATTGGTGTGGACTAAATTTTTTCAAGTAGATGGTATTATGACAAATGATAAAGTTATGTAAGTTTAAGCATTGATCACACGAGAATAAAGTACCTGATTAGTTTAATGTTGACGCTAACTTTAATAAAATGATAGAGTTATCATGAGATTCACTATTTGCTCAATTAACCAATAACTATTTTAATTATTAAGCTAACTAACTAATTGATTGAGAAACGGTTATGAAATTCAGTTAATGGAAAGAACTAGGATCTCAAATGCCCTTTACGCATTTATTTTAATATCAATTTTATTAATTGAAAATAATTATTTAGACTTGAAAGTCAATGTTCCTATTCATTGGGCCTCCATTGCTTAATAATTGGGCCACTTATTAAAATGAAGCCCAATGGTTTGTTGATTAAGGGCTTGCTTGGGCGCTTTGGAGTATTAGTTATGAGCCTTTTTTAAAATTTCGAATTTGAGAGTTTATGAACGGATCGATTTTGAATGGTTTTAACAGCGATTTTTATAACAGCCCAACCTATGTTTTGAAGTTTATCCATCGATTCTGAAAGTTTTTTAAGAGAATAAAATTACATATATGTTTATTAGTGAAATTTTCAATTTATAGTTTCTTATATAATTTTTTTTTTTTTACCCATAAGTGATATTTTACTTAGAGGTACAATTTTTCCATATAAGTTAATATTTAAATTAAAAAGTTAAATAAATTTAAACATTTACTTAAAATTTTAAGTTATCCATCAATTTTGTGTATTGAGAGAACTGGTTAAAATTACATCAGATTTTGGTGATTTTAAAACCATCCAAAACTTGTGTTAAAAAAATTAGCAAGCATTGATTTTTTCAATCCCTCGTAATCAGTGCTACCCAAAATTGATCCAAGTCGGTGGGAAAAAAAATTTATTTCCACACAGGCCTTAATTGGCTAAATATCCAGCCCTTTGTGACCAAAAATCTTGGTGTTCTCGTTTTTAGTTTACTTTTATTTTGAGTTCTTGGTTATTCCTTGGACCAACAATATTATATTCAATAATATCTCTAGAGTAGAATTATATATATATATGCATTAATTCACAAGAACATTCATATAAGATCATGAGAAGCATAACAATATATTTCAATCTACTATCAAAAGTTACAATGATTGTTATCACATGATATAATTTCTATTACTTCCTTTGAATGAAACATAAATTAAAAAATCTAATCAATTGTTGGTCAAGTGATTAAAAAGCAATAAAATCCTAACAATTATTAAAATTAAGCAGACATTTTAGTCAAAATCTGAATTTAATACCTGACACACCCCATCCCGTGTAACACCACTAGATCAGGACGTGGCATGCGCCGATGATAGATATCAACTAAAAGTTGGACCCACCATCAAGGCTACTACAAATACAATAACTTTTTATTTATCATTTTTCTAACAGAATTTCGGCATTATCTCCCCTGTAAATAAGACTAATCAACCTGTGATCAATTTCACACAAATCCCAAATTATAGCACAGCACAATAAAGATAAGCCGAAACATCAATATTTACCAAGAAATAAAATGAAATATACATATGTATACAAAATATATAATGAGCTCCATAACTATCTACAAGTGATGGAAAATTACATCTAGACAAGAACATGCGTCTCAAAACACTGACTACATGTTCTATGAAGTGAGTCTTACTAACAAACTCTGTCGTGTGGCTCTAACTCCAAAATCAAGGCTCAACTCCAAAAGATGCACAGTTTCTCAATTGCTGCCTAATAAGGAAAAACGTGGAAAAATATATGAGTTGATAGCTCAGTGAGTGGAGAAGTTCAAAATAAATATACTTTTTTATTTATACATTTTTATTGAAAATGAAATTCATATCATTGATAACTCGCAAGATAACATCATGTAAGTATAGCCAAAAAGTGAAATATTCACATAAGGTCATAAAATATTATCTTAAAATCATGATATAGACATCAGTTGATAACCATGCTATAGTTTCATCACATCAAACGTACTGAAAATCTACCAAAAATGTACACTCTGACTGAAATATATAATCCGCCCCTCGAGCTAAGAACTTTCGCTACGGGCCTTTGGCCCCTCCGTGAACGAAAGTTGGTCTTAAAAACCTCTCATAATCAATTCTAGAATACGGTTAAGCCCCCTCAGTGAACTATATATACACGGTTGAGACCCTTTCATCCCCGATCCAAAACTCCTCAGTATAGTATAGAACAGGGCCAATGTCTCTCAGTGAACTAGAAGAAATATATCATCACGGGTATTTTTCTAGTCGATCTCAAAATCATACCTCATATTCCAATTCACAATGTACCGTATACAATCTTTAAAATCCACATGTATCATAATAAAAAATATTTCCATAATAATCATATAATTCGAACACATAATTGCACATACTTTAACAATATACTTAATTTATAAATACTTTAAAAATATTTATATTTTTCCACTCACAGAACTATGTACGCCAAAATCAATTTGATTGGTACGCTGTCCCGATATCCGTATCGCCACTTGAAATATAATATAATTTTTAAATCAACAATTAACTAATTTAAGTAATTTCAATAATTAAATAGGCGGTACCCAAATATAAATATTTCACGTTTAAACGATTTCTAAAGTCTCTTTGATTAGTAAAACTAATTTTTCTTTCATTTTACTCAATTTCATAGTTTATTATACTTAACCCTTTCAATAAAATTGAATTTAATCTAACAACTTAACAACTATAAAATCAAACATATCCTTTCAATAAGTAACTTTCACTTATCTTCCAAAATTGAGAAATTCAAGCCTAATAGTATAACACACTTAATTCCTAACACATTGAGTTTTCCCCCTTTTTCCCCTCTTTTTCTTCCTCTTTTCCCTTTTTTTCTCCCTCTTTTTCCTTTCCCTTTTTCTCTTTTCTTCTTCTTCTATATACCGTTCTTTTTTTGTGTCTTGTGTGTGTGTGTTATATATTATTACTTTGGTATTGGGCCAATTCCACCGCCTCTTTATACTATATATAATTTTTTTGTTTGACTTTTTTTATTTTTTTTATTTTTTTAACTTAATGTATGACAATACCAAAACTTTATATTATAGGATTCAATGTAATCTTAGCATATATATAATTAGTCGAGCATCAAATGATTATATAAATACAAATTGAATCTATAAATTGTAATGAATCTTTATCAATCTTCTTGAAATCTTATTATTCATTTTCAGTCTCCAAGTAATTATATAAATTGATGTATGTACATTATATCAAAATCTTTTGTAAAATTTGTAACGAATATGTATGTGATATCCAAAAGCTTCTTCTAGGCTTCCCCCAGTGTGTGTGTATATATATATATATGATTAAAGATTGTACTTGCAGTCCCAACATTAGGTCCAAACTCGTGCCCTAATTTTTTTTCCACGTAAAAGTTGAATCAAAATAGGAAACAAAATCATCCCTATCTTGAAGTTGTAAAATTCCTCCGAACACTCTCTTAAGGCTTCATATTGATGGCGTACAATCAGGTTGTTCTTCAATTATTTCGAATCAACTTAAATTAAGTTCCAACTCAACTTTCATCATGCCAAATGCTCCCAAGTTCAGGTTTTCTTTTTACAATTAACATAATTTAAATAAATTAGGTAGAAAAATATAAAAGCAAGAATAAGCATTTACAATACTCCTATCAATTGATAACACCAATCTTAAATCGCAATCGAAGGAGTCAGTATTTTGAAAGAAGTTTAGACCTTGTTTGGTGGGGATTAAAATCAATTTTTAATAAATTTTAATTAAAGTTGATGAAACGTGTAGTTAAAAAATTGTGAATCCCTTGAAATATATAGTTAAAATTAATTGTTAATATATATGATTAAAGATTGTACTTGCAGTCCCAACATTAGGTCCAAA